CAGAGCACAGATAGCCCATTGTGTAGCTTTGTGCTTGATTACAAAACAAACAAACAAACTCTTTGTCTTTTTTTATTTTCACTCAAAATACCTCTGGAGGCTCAGCGATCAGCTTGAGGGTTTATAGACTAACATTCTGGGTGCGATCCGTATGGTGGACATGGACACAGCACACATAACTCATAGAGCAGATTTGCGCTTAAACCAACCAAACAAACGAATTCACCTGAAAATGTTACTGACGAATGCCGATTTGTTTTTCAAATTATGAAATTTAAACAGAACCCTCTCCCCCCCTCCCCCAAAAAAAAAGAAAAGTGGACAGTTGAGTGACCAGTTGTGACGTTCATATATTTGTAGAATAATTTCTTACAGAAGCTTGTGATAAAGTCGTTGCTATCACCATTGAAAAATAGTGGATTAGATTTGTAGTTCCAATGCAATTGTTTATTTTCCTAGATAAGACAGTTCACATAATTTAATATATCGTTCTCTCAGTGAGTCAGATTCCTCTTGATGGACAGAGCGCATATAGCTTATTATGTTGCTTTGCGCGCTAAACAAACAATTTAATATATCTAGTCATTGAAATGATTTTAAGAAATCTTGTTCGATAATAAAAAGAAGTAGAACTCTCAGATTATCAGATACAGTGTTTTGAGATTTATTTTCTTCAAAATATTCTGACTCTTAAAATATTCTGAAGTAAAATGGTTTTAAAATTGCAAATAACATATTTAGACAATATCATTTTTATTCTACAGGCACTGTTTTTGTTCCCGACAGTGTTGGTTATCTTCTTGGGACTAATCTATTTGGATCTGTAGCCTTCCGAATTGGCAGGTAAGAGAAAGCACATGAGCTAACAGATATTTGAAAACGAAAACTCGAAGTTTTTCCATTGGGGAATTTGTGTATTGGCTTTTAAATACTACCTTTCAAAGCCTCAACATTAAAATTTAGTCCATTGATTTCAGAACTCAGCTTGTGAATCTAAATGCTCTTATATACGGAAGCTTCCTTCACCATTGGTCATTTCAAGGATCTTAAACAAATTAGAATGAATAACAAAACCATATTTATTTAGGGCATGTTCTAATATACTTAACTTAGTGGGTGATCTGAAATTGGTTTGTTCTTTTACTCGTGTTAATAGTTTCCAATTTATAGAACCGATATAGTCTTGCTGACAGCAAGGACAAGTAAATTCATAGACTACTAACGTTTACTGAAAAACTGGAAGCTGGTCCTTAAATTTAAGGAAGGAAAGTAGACGACAATTATCCTTATACACGCATCTCAGTTGTGCCTCTTTTAACTGATTCTTAATAACTAAAAAATATTTCTACAGAAATGGCAAACTGATGACTAGAGAGTATTTAAACATGTCGGTTCGGTTTACTGTATCAGAACTTTGCTTACTTAAATAAGAGCAAAGTATTATGCCAATTATAAAATATGGAAATTGATTTTTGCATTAAAACATCCTTGATATTAATACATTCTGTACGCATAACTTTGTAAAGGCTACATATTCTATAAGCACGGTGAAATACTATTTTAACAAAATTTTCTTTAAAGAATAACATTCGGAATAAAGCTTTCAAAATAAAAGTATAAACCTGCAAGGATTTTCTTATGATAAATTTCACATTGAAAATGTCACTAATTAGAACATCCAAAAAAGGAGGTTTATGGTACCTGTTGATACTCCACAGTAAACCTTATATGTTTTGTCTATTGTTTAGGCATTGAAGAAATTGGGAAACTTGATCAGAAAGTGGTGAAGGTGTCGTCAACATACCTACGATAGTAAAAAGATTTAAACAGTTGTGGACAATTTTCCAACCATTGTTTTTCATGAAAACATAAAAATAAGTTAACTAAAGATGGCGCAAGTTTCGAGCCCGTGGCAACACCGTTGATTTGATCATGAATCTTTCCATTTAATAAAATTAGATCCTTTAGTGGCAAAGTTCATAAGTTTCAAAAAGACAGATTTTGGGATTAACAATTCATTAGTTTTCATTATAAACTAACTCAGTACTTAACTATATGGTCTCTTCTAGTATACTTGTATAAAATGATTTGATGTCAAAACTGGCACAATGTACATCACTGTCAAATTGTAGTTGTCGAATATTATGAGAAAACTCGAAACTATCTTTTAGTGTATTCTTCTGTGGCAAATGTTTTCAAAAAACAACTAGAAAACCAGCTAAAGCATGGTTATACGTTTCAATGTTCGAAACTATTCCAGTTTTCAGTAAACGTTAGTAGTTTATAAATTTACTTGTCCTTGCTGTCAGCAAGACTATATTGGTTCTATAAAATGGAAACTATTAACACGAGTAAAAGAACACTTCAATTTCAGATCACCCACTAAGTTAAGTATATTAGAACATGCCCTAGGTAAATATGGTTTTGTTATTCATTCTAATTTCTTTAAGAACCTTGCATGGCCTGTGATGAAGAAAGCCGCCGGATGAAAGAGTTTAGGTCCACTAGTTGAGGCGTGAAGAGAATATGGATAGTTCTGGCAAAATCAATAAACAGACTTTTAGTATTTATATATTTAACTGTTCGAAGTTTTATTAGTATTTTGTTAGAATGAGGAGAAAGAGTATGAAACAGGTTCACAAAAGTAGAGGGACGTATCATTGAAGTCTTATTTAAATGTAATTATGATGTACGTGCTTGAGAGAGTAATGCTATACGTCTACTTTTGAATTCGATGGCATTAAAAACTTTTTTCTTATTTCTTCCTTAATGTTGTGACTTGAAACTGGTAATAAACAAATATAAGGTAAATCGAAACTTCTTTTTTACGTTTTACCTCAAGGTATCACTAATTCTGAAAACATTTACATGCTGAGGAAACACTGTTAAACACTTCTTATAATCTTCAAGTTGAGCACAAAACAAAAGTATGATGTCGCAATCTCTGAAAGTAAACTTTCAGTCAAAAGCCACATGCATATGCGGAAGGGATAAAAAAAGCATAACATAAACTATTTTAACACCTTAAATTTACTTAGAAATGATAAAACATGTGAAAATTGATACACGTGATCTTTGTAAACATCCTCATAGCTTGAACTAGAAACTTTGCATATTTTCCGCAACGTTAACGAGCTATGGGCAATTAATTTTTATTAATGCCTTCGTTAGTGGTAATTACTCGTAACAAGACAATTGGTAAAAAAAAAATTCAAGCTTTGGAGTGTAATATCAACAAGTGTGTTAAATTTCATGGTGATATTTTTTTTTGCTTTAATGGTGTAGTGGAAACGGCATGAAAACAAAGTCATTTTATTTTATTTTTAATCATTTGCTACAGATTAATTAGTAAAGATTTAAAGACAAAAATGAGTTGTTTATGTAGAAAAGAAGCTAAACTTTAGTTTTAGGCTAAATTTGAGAAATGTGATTTTGGAAATATTAGGGGCGCTTTTTAAGGATCAATGCTATCTTTATAGGCAAATTTTTTTTTTTCATCAGCTGTAAGAAAAATTTTAAAATAAACTTCCTAACGTTCAAATTTCCAAAGAAATCTATAGATAAAGCAATCGGATAAGAATATTTTCTTTTTCATGGGCTTGACTTTTCATTTCTTTGGAAACGCCACCTTTTCGATATTTCTAGTGTAGTACATTTTAAACTGTCCCAAGAGAAATTATAAAACTTATTTCGGGATACTTTATTATTACATGTGCACTATAAAACATAAATAATTATATAGGCTTAGAAGATGCATTACCTCTTAACTTTTGTCATATTTCTAAATGAGATTGACCCTGTGATTTAAAACGACAACATTATTTTCTAAACTGCTTTTCAATTACTTTCATTTATAGGTGGCTAGCAGCTTTGGTTTCTCTCTTGGTTGTTGGTGTATGCGCACTAGGGGTAAGTTAATCAACAAGTTTTTCTTATTTTACAAAAATGGAGAAGTTGCTATGCTGAATACCACGATGACAAAAAAGTATAAGGGGGGGTCTGGTGGTATAAATCTGCTTGTTGTATGATAAAAAGCAAAAGTGGTAAAATGCACAAACCTGTTTTTCAAATTCGATGACGAGAAACCCACTTTGAGATTAATAATACTTGGAGAGGGCTTGAATGGGTAATGAAGAAAAACTTTAATATAACTGCAAATGTACAAAATTTCGACCAGGTTTTGTCATCATCAGGTACGATCTTGTCGAAACGTTGTACATTTTCTGTTATGTTATATTAAAGTTTTTCGTCATTACCCATTCAAGCCGTCTCCAAGCATTACAAACCTGTTATGTCTAGATATATTTCTTACTTAAATTAACCTAACACAAAATACATGAGAAGTTTAACTCTCAGTGACGTATGCCTAGATATTGAATTTAACCTCCGTTACTCGTACATTTGTATCTGTGCGTACAATGATGGGTTGTTTTATTGATGGTTACGTTGGATATACGGCACGGTGGCCTACTTAACATACTAAATTATCTTGTTTGCGTTTAATTTATGGACATAATGGTGTGTTCCCTTACTTATATATTTGGTCATACAAGGTAGTTAATTGTTACCTTCCTTCTTTAATCTATCGACATAGAAAATCGTGATTTTATATTTTCATTTTTTCTACTTTTTGTATGTAGGAAAAGTGTTAGGTCAAATTACCAACTGCTTATTCTGTGTATACAATGATGAGTTATTTCAGCTTCTTATATTTGCGAGTTATTTTGGCGAACTTGATCTATCTATGAAAACCCAACATGTACGCTAAGACATAAGATTTGGTATAAATAACCCAAAATAACAATGTCAACATATTAAAGCTGGCAATGTAACTCGCTGTGATGATTTCCGAACAGAAAAGTGGGTAAAGTAACTATAGGTCAGTCCACGATGTTCTATACAAATCTGTGAAAGTAGTTGTAGAACCTGGCCAAGTTATGATCTAACATGAAAGTAAATAAATGCCTTTTTCACACCAAAACAAAGATCACGCTTTGTACTTTGTAACTGTGGGTGAGTTTTGAGTGGTCAAATCCCACAATTCGTAGGTAAAAATTAGTCCACGAGTTGACGGTGGGTGATTTTAATTACCTTTCTAGTTTATCACTTCAAACAAGCCTGCGAGTAGCTTTGCATGAAATTGAACAAACAAAAGCTGGCTTCTTTTTCTTAATTGGAAGTCATTCTGAGCAGTGTCTCTCATTCTCTAAGTTTACAATGATCTTGAGCATACTTAAATACTCCACCACACCACAATCAGCTAGCACATTTTGAACAATTCTTGAACTATCTTTAGATCTCAGATTACTGTGTTCTTTTAAATGTTTCTCTATGTAGTATTCTTGTGCAATCTGTAAGTGCTCAAACATCTCGTACAACGTGTAACGAATTTGTTGTTATGTATTTATTTTAATATGAACGTTGTTTAGATTAAGTTTATATTTAGAAACATACATAGCTTATACTGTTAGATAGGTATTGCGAAACTCCCGCCTATTCTACAAAGATGCAGAAGACTATCGAGAGTAAGAATCATCAACAATATATCTACACTGAGAGGTCACAAGTAAATAGACACCTAATTTTTCGTCATTTAACTGATTTATGCTAACTAATTTGTGTTCA